GGATGGTTATTATTTTTGATTGGTCAACTATTATATGTTGATTTTACAAAATATGAATTTGTAAGAGCAATGGACATGTTATCAAAAGAATTAAAAGCTATTCATGTTCCTGATATGAAGATAACACCGGTTGAAGGTGAGATAGATATAGATATTATACCTCCTAATGTATCTGTATCATCGCCACAAACATTCTCTGATAATATTCTTCAGTGGTCACAAACACAAGTACGTCAATGGCTTCTTCAACATAAACTGGTTCAACTGTCTCAGCTTCTCATCGATTGTAATGGTCGAAGTTTAGTTCATCTATATAAATTCATGAAGCAAAGTCAATCATCACAAATCTTATCAATACTTCAAGAAGATTCACTTCGTCGAATAAATCAGAGTATATCATTAATAGAGTTATCTTGTTTTCATTCTATTATGCATGAACAACAACGACAACAACGGCAGCAAACAAAAATATCCATAAAATCAACTGAAATCAATAGAAATATTGAAGAAGTTGATTTTTGAAAGAACAATTAAAAATATCATATTAAATTTTGCACCACAATATCTGCTTTTTCATTAACACACATATTTAATGTAGAGTATAAACTTTAAAAGGATAGGTGTGGATGTGGGTGTGGTATGTTAACCATAATACACAAAATATTGTCACATCAATAAATTAAATCCAAAACAACAATACCTTTTCTCAGAAAAGGCTTTTCTGAGACCATTTGTGAATAAGAACTAAACACAAAATGGATACATTTTAATATTTCCTTCTGTTACTGATATCATATATGAACGAATAATGAAATACGCTTCTCGAATCATCAATCTAATTGTATGTAAAGTGAGGTGCTAAAACAGTTGATTTCGTTCGAGCGTACGATAAATGAGTTGCTGTTGTAGAGGACGAGAATATTTTTTTACAAACATTCACCATGCATTGTTGAGATAAATATGAACGACCATGCTTTACATCGCGATAAACCAGAACAGCTTCAGCAGCAGAAATTTCATCTTTCTCTTTTGATAGTTTCATTGTTTTTTGTAACTAATTGATTTGATGCTTTTGAGCTTTTATATAATGATCAATATCAGCGTTTCCTCGATAATGTACTGAAAAATGCTGGTTGCAAGCAATGCATGTGGCTTGAGTTGTATTCTTTCAAAAATAATTCATATTCGATGATCTTTAATCATTCTCTGTTAAATATTCCTTTTTTCAAACTTCTTTTTTTTCGATTTATCACTGAATGATATTTATGACTCGATTGTTACTGATGCTTTACTATCTTCATTTTGATTAATATGGCTATCAGCAGCAGCAGTCATTTTTTCTGCTTAGTACAAATATTACAGTTTATTATATTCTTAACCAACAATGAACAATAGACAGAAGATCGTGTACAGTGAATTGAAAGATTTGGATGATTGGTAGAAAATACTTCAGAAAGAAAAAGATCGCTAAAGAACGGCCTCTGTAAGTGGGGTATATATTGACCGTTTTTATTAATTATTGGACATTGGAGATCATCATCTTATTAACTTCCATTATACAGCAAAGATGACAAAAAAACAACAATATACATCACTAAGAATTCATCGAATATATATGGAATAATGATTTATTAGAACTGAAGTTGAGTTAAAAATGAAAAGCAGATAATATTTTGAAAAGCAGAATAAATTGAAAAAGCAGAAACGACAGAAAAAAAGCAGAAAAGTTTTGTTGAAATTCTTAATATAGAGTGAAGATAAATGATAGTCTGTATCGTGTAATGTTTTGTAAGAGTAATGTACTTAATAGAGTAGTAAAATTTTAATGAATAAATAAAAGTTAGTCATCGATAAACCTTAACAATGCAAGAGAACGCCGATGTTGTTCGAATTAGAGTTTGCAACAACAATATCGGGTTTATTATCACTATTTACATCGACGACTGCTATTGAATATGGAGCAGTACCAACTGCGAAAGTAATTTGAGCATGAAAGGTGCCATTACCTGCGTTGAGAAGAACACCGACGGTGTTTGAATCATGGTTTGCAACAACAATATCGGGTTTATTATCGCTATTCACGTCGACAACTGCAACTGCTTCGGGACCACTGCCAACTGCGTAAGTAACTTGAAGATTAAAGGTGCCATTGCCTGTGTTGAGAAGAACGCTGGTAGTGTTCGAACCAGAGTTTGCAACAACAATATCGGGTTTACTATCACTATTCACATCGACAACTGCTACTGAATATGGATTAGTACCAACTGCGTAAATAACTTGAGCATTAAAGATACCGGTGCCTGGGTTGAGAAGGACACCGACGGTATTCGAACCATAGTTTGCAACAACAATATCGGGTTTATTGTCGCTATTCACATCGACGACTGCTACTGAGTATGGGTTAGTACCAACTGAGTAAGTAGCTTGAGTATTAAAGGTACCGCTGCCTGCGTTAAGAAGAACACTGACGCTGGTCGAACCATAGTTTGCAACAACAATATCGGGCTTATTGTCGCTGTTTACATCGACGACTACTACTGACGCTGGCTGAGTACCAACCGAGTAAGTAGCTGGAGTATTAAAGGTACCGCTGCCTGTGTTGAGAAGAACGCTGACGGTACTCGAACCCTCGTTTGCAGAAATAATATCAGGTTTATTGTCGCTATTCACATCAACGACTGCTACTGACATTGGGTTGTTACCAACTGAGTAAGTAGTTTGAACATTAAAGGTGCCATTGCCTGCGTTGAGAAGAACACCGACGTTGGCCGAATTCCAGTTTGCAACAACAATATCGGATTTATTGTCGCTATTTAAATCGACGACTGCTACTCCTTCAGGAGTAGTACCAGCTGAGTAGGTAGTTTGATTAAGAAATGTATTGCAGGCTATTAAATACAAAACATTTGCTCTCACATCTGTACTAACATATAGACACTATTCAACCGTCGTATTTTATTCAGTCTTTAAGAGTTTCACTTAGTTGAACATAATTCATTCCAAAAGATCATGTCACTGAATTTTGGGCAATTTCAGATATTCTAGAGTATAACTAAAGTCAGTTTTCAGTCATTCTGTCCATCTCTATGTGAAACCTTCTCGTGAATCTGAAAAATCAACAAACTCATATCACTTTACTTAAAACTTGCGTTTCCTTTAAAGAAGTTTCATGATATCCTCGACTAAGGGACTCCAGAATAACTACCAAGGAGAATTCACAATTAGCTGTACATTCAGATCTTGTTCTCGTTGTCGTCGAGAACAGCTCAACAAAAATAAGTTATCTGTTTGGTTTACTGTTGGTCTGTTTTTCAGTGTTTGGCATAGATATGAACGGAGTTAAAAGCAAAATTACATCAGAGTCTACTAGATGCTGTAGTATTAAACCAAAGTAAGCATTACACGTTTTATGTATTGTAAGTTGTGTTCTGCAATACTTATTCTAAAAATGAATATACTTTTCATATTGAATTACCGTGCACTCGTGACTTTATACATGCAAAACAATTTTCCGCCAATATTGATTATGGAAGACCACAAGCAGTGTTTTATCCAGCTTTTTTCGTCCGAGGGTGCGAAATTAACTGCCGGAGGGGCAAAAATCTCTCTTCTGAGGGGGCAAACGTAGAGTTTCAGACTCAAAAAGCGTAATTTTTCTGAATTCCGGGGGGGCAGGAGCACCCTCCGAGGGGTAGAGCCCATCGGGTCCACGTTTTTTTGGACCCGGACCCGGACCCGGACCCGCCCAATAAATATTTTTTGGACCCGGACCCGACCCGGACCCGTTCAAAAAAATTACGGTAGACCCGGACCCGGACCCGATGCCCGGTCCGGGTCCGGGTTGGACCCGATTTCGACGAGCACTAGTCTGAACTCGAGCTGTACCTTTAAAAAATTTTTTAGTCTTAACTATCCAAAAACCAAAACTAAGTAGCAAAAAAAAAAGGTCTTTGATTTAGTTTTCTAAAAACCTATTAACCAGTTTTCAAATCCAAAATGGCATTCTCATGTTCACCGAGCAGTATAAAAATATCATGTCGATCATATATTTCTTTTTATCCGGACCCGGTCATAAAAAGCTTCGAGACCCGGACCCGGACCCGGACCCGGTAAAAACAAATTTTTAAGAACCGGACCCGACCCGGACCCGGGCGGGTCCGGGTCTGGGTCCGGGTCCGGGTCGGACCCGATGGGCTCTACCGAGGGGGCAAAAAGCCCCGTGCCCCCCCGCTGGATAAACCACTGACCACAAGTCATAAACAATAAAACTTCTAGCGCTTAGCCTGGCTTATTAGCACAGCATCTAGCAGATTCCGTGCAGCCCCTGCTAATTGATCGAAAACCATCTCAAGAGAAAAAATGAAGAACCCAGGTGGAGAAAACTAAATATGGACCAGCGAGAAGTAATCAAAAGAAAGGCAACAACAACGAGGCTTAATGCTTCTTGATAAAATCCTCGTTAAGCTACTATACTCTAGTACTATTTCACTATTGAAAGGCTTTTCTAAAATTTAAACTAATGGAATCGTTCGTGGTAAGTTTGAATTTGAATCAATGTCAATTTTTTCTAATGTCGGTCCTCGCAGTGGGGGTCTGTACCAGGAACATACTGATTATACTTTTTTATGTCTAGACATGACACTCCTACAAGAGACAACTGAGAGGATCTCCAGACAAGTGTTATTTGTTGATCGACATGATAAATCTTTGGAAGTAAAAATCTCAAGCGTTTTTTGGATAGTGAAACTAATCATCGGTTCGAAAGCTACAAAAAACTACAACACATTATCTAGCATATTACTGACCAGGTGTTGTTGACGTTGTTGTTGACGATGAGGATGATGTTGATGATGACGTGGTTGATGTTGTTGTTGATGTTGATGATGTTGATGATGTTGATGACGAAGTGGTTGATGTTGTTGACGATGTAGATGATGAAGTGGATGTTGATGTGGTTGTTGATGTCGTAGTCGGTGCTGTTTTAGAGAAATGAGATTGAGGATTTGGGCGTCAGTGCGAATATTCTTCAGTCTTTACACTCACACTCTCAAGATAGATGTGCAAATTGAAGAAGATCCCCACCCACATCCACACTCTCAAGATTTGGCTACCCTGATGTTGACCATCATTTCTAGTTCTTTCAGTATAAACTGGGCTTAGTTATTTTTAAAAAGATGATCAAGTAAATCACTATAATTTTTTGATCAAAAATTGTCTTTCGTCTAACTGAGAACCCAAAGAGATTTACAGAAACTGATATTCTTGCTATCGAATAACTTTTTGACTTTCGGTATAAAAATATTCAATTATCAGCGACTAAAACAACTTTGAAATTATGTAAAACGCCAAAAATCAATGCTATCATGTCGTCATCTCAGAAAGCGCTAAAAGTAGTATGAGAAACGATGACTCGTTTCTAGCAAAAAATGACTCATTTTTTTGAATGACGGATTTTGAGGAGAATTAGCACAGTAATAAATTATGTTATAACTATTTATGGCGGCATTTCTTTTAGTTGGGATGATCATTTACCTTGTACGGGCGCTGTTGTTGTATTTGTTATCACAGTACAATAGCGTAAACTGCAGCCCGAAGGTGCACATAATTGATAAACGTAATAAGATCCACAATTGGTCACACTAATACTATTGCTGTAAGTGCAATTGCCAGATCCCCATGTGAAGCATACAGTTCCGTTGCTAGTTGAATTCAGACTAGTGGGCATTTGTCCTGTATACCAGCCTGTTGCGTCGGTACCACATCGACTAGGTCCAACTGGGCTTGTCGGTATTTGTGTACCACCTAAACCAACAAAACGAACCCACATTGCACCGGAACTAAATAAAGATTGATCGCAGGTAGCACTACCGGTGAAATTTGGGCTTCTTGTCGTATCATTGATCAGTGTGTAATTGAAACATTGAGGAGAGGGTATTGGTGTGTTTGTTGTTGTAGCTACATAGAGAGAAAATAGTATTCAGATATAAAAACAATTTAGTCTATTATTAAGAATAGACATGTGACAGTTGTCAGTTCTTTTTTTCGAGAATTGAATCGAATGCGTCATCCTTTGTTTATGTAAAATGAATTTCATAACCCGTTGTTTTCATATAAACTAGAACCGATACATTCACCCATATTAGCAAAGTCGCCAAGGTTTGGGCGATGAATCGCGATTTCAAAAAAAATTGACAAACAGTCCTTAATTCTGACGATTTTATTGCGATAGATCTCCAAGAGGGTAATTGCTAGCACCCAGCACTCAGTACCGTAGCACTTCCGCAGCAGCTCAGCGCCTGCTCAGCATCTTTTCAGCACCTCAGCACCTATTTAGGACCTGTTCAGCACCAAAGCACCTATTTAGGACCTGTTCAGCAGCTAAGCACCTATTCAGCACCTTAGCACCTGTTCGGTGTTTTTCGGTGCTCGTTGCCAGCTCTTACCCCCTTGAGCAAAATACTTTGATTTAGAACGTTTTGAATTTTGAGAAAATACAAAAAGACACCAGAATTATAAAAAACAGTAGTTAAGAAGAAAATGAAAATCAGGTTGCAAATTCAGAAAATTTCCTGTTTTTTCAGAAGATCTGGCCACCATGTGCACAATACCTACCAAGTAGAATTCAGAATTCTGTACATGTATCTAGAATTTCATTTCAACATATATATCATTCCTTTTTTAATTGCATTATAATATGGAATTCTATAAACAATATGATAATTCTCTGTCACAACGGGATGTACGACGTCAGTTTACTGACCACTAATGTTACTGACACTGAAATGTACTGAAGCAGTGACAGCCTCGGTACACCAACGTTTACTGATAAGTCAGACATATTTATATCAGTAAACGTCGGTGCACCGAGGCTGCCAGAATTTTTGGTGTTTTCGCCGACACTGCACATCCCTAGTGTCACATAAATCAACCATATGTCTACAAAATTCTGAATTCTACTTTTCAAGTATTTTACAATTACCTGTGCAGTCGCACCCTATTCTCGTTCTCGTCGAGTACGATTCAATAAAGATAAGTTGTCTGTTTGCGCTATTACGAGTTAGCTTGCTACACTCTAAAACAAATTCGGTATTTGTTACTATCGGAAACTCTCTCCGGGTTTCCGAGTCATCCAAAACCTTTTCATAGGCGTTTCCGAGTCTTCGGAAACCAGGAGAGAGTTTCCGATAGTAACAAATACCGAATTTGTTTTAGCGTGTAGTGTTTGGCATAGGTATGCACAGAGTTAAAAGCAGAATCACATTAGAGTCTGGTAGATATTGTATGATTAAACCAAACTAAGCATTACACATTTTAATTATTGTAAGTTGTGTTGTCCAATAGTTACTCTACTAATCGATGTACTTTTCATATTCGATTACCGTTCTCTCGTGACTTTATACATGCAAAAAAAGTCGACACCAGTGCTGACTCTGCCTTATTTCGGATATTTACGAAGTTTCCAAGAAACAACAACTGAATTTGAGAGATACGTCAGCTACTAGAGTTAATATCGAAGAACACAAATCACAAACAATAAAACGTCTAGTGCTTACTCTGGTTTATTGACACAGCATCGAATAGATTCAGATACAAGTTCAATTTTGACTCTGTGCAGCCTCCAACTACTTGATGGAAAACCACACCGAGAGAAAAAATGAAGGACGCAGGTGACCGAGACTATATGCTGACCGCCGAGAATTAACCAAAAGAAAAGCAACAACAACGAGGCTTCATTCTCGCTACCAAAGTCTTTATTATACTACTATACTATGGCGCTAGGTTACTCATAACAGTTTATTCTAAAAAAAAGTAATCGTCAGTCATACGTCCAAATCAACCTCGGTTTTTTTAATATCGGCTCTCACAACAGAGGTCTCTACCAACAACTTGATGACTACAATTTGTTACATCAAGAAATAATACTCCTACAAGAGACAACTGAGCAAATCTCTGAAGACGTATTATTTGTTCATCGAAATGACAAATCTTTGAAAGATAAACTTTTAAGTTTGATTACTGGAATAAATTATCGGTTTGAAAATTGCAAAAAAGTACAAAATATTGTCTAACTTATTACTGACCGGTTGTTGTTGTTGTTGCTGATGTTGTTGACGACGTGGATGATGTTGATGATGAAGTAGTAGTTGTGGTTGTTGTTGTTGATGTTG